ATAAGGTGTAAAAATGCTAACATATCTGTGATTAATTTCAACAAGAGAAACAATTTTCTTAGAAAAATTATATAATAAAGTTTGTTCCCGTTTATTGATGTTTTAATAGGCTTATAACATGGTGTCAGAAGTAGCTACTCATCTGTGAGAATTCCAGCCCATAATTCAAGAAAAATATGAAAAAAAAATCATTTAACATTTGATGAAGTCAAAATGACGTCTCTGTACGAACCCCCGAGCCCGGGGGTTCGTACAGAGACCGGCTTTTCTGAATATAAGATCAACATAGTGTACAAGACTGTTGACACGTCAGGTGGAAATGTAAAAAACAAAAAATTCAACATCGACAAGTACAACACATCAGGTGTCTACAAGCTGAAATGTGGCTCGTGCTCAAGAAATTGATATTGGAAAAACATCTAGAAATTTTAAAACCAGAGTCTCCGAGAACAAAAAAAGTTATGAATTGAAGAAAACTAATTTAACCTATGTGTTAGAAAACAACTACGACACAAACTTCGACGTACCACATACAGAAAATGAAGGACAGAAATTAAACCTGCTAGCGAAAGTAACCAATCAAATTGAGAAGAACGACAAGACGTTAATTCATTTGTGATGCACTGTTTGGAACCTTTGGTTAGTACTGAATATTACTGCAGTTTTTTTCCAACACCAAACCGTTATTTTAACACCTCGACACGTGTTTCGATCATCAAGTGATCATCCTCAAGAGGAAGATCAGTTTGATTGAAACAAGTGTCGAGATGTTAAAATAACGGTTTGGTGTTGAGAAAAACTCCAGTAATTTCTAAGAAATTGATATGTCACCAATTTTGTACTCATTTTCAACAAAAATTTCCAAGAACTAGTCGATTCATAAGTAACAATAACAAAACCTCCTTCCTAACTTTGCTAATTCTAATCAAAGCATACCACGAAGAGTAGAAATCCTTGGTAGAATACAATTCTTTTGCCTCAACCCCGAAATCTTCGCAAAAATTCAGAAATATTTTTATAGCTGTCAAACACCGGTCCTATTACATTTATATTTTAATAAAATTGATTGAATGGTTTTTCAAGGACTGAACTCTATTTGGTTACTGTTACATCCAAATGCAGAGTCCAACAGACTGTTGGTTGACATTGGAAGTAGCATTCTGGAAATGACCTCTGACTTTATGCCTCCAACTGTCAACTACGAACTGCCTTATAAAGTACTATTCCCGAGTACTGCGGGAGAAGAAAATATTAAGAGCAGATAGTTGTTGGTTCACAGATGGATCAAAAACACCTTCCGGTTCTGGTGCAGGTGTTTTCAGTCGCAGACCCAGGACAGAGTTATCTACCTGCCTAGGAACTTATGCGACTCTATGTAAAGCGGAAATTTACGCTATTAAAGTGTGTGCGGAGAGATTGGATAAATCCAACCTCACTCACAAGTCAATAAAAATATTCTCGGACAGTCAAGCGGCCTTGGAAGCTCTTGGCTCCCACCAAGCAACGTCTAAATTGGTAGCAAACTGCCAAAAAGACTCTTCGATAGAAAGACTAAACAGATTGTCACTGGTCTGGGTTGCAATCATTAACAAATTTGATATGATTGAAACATTCGTAACTTCAGCACTTTTGTAGTTTTCAGTACAATTAATTGCTTTCCACACTTCACCTCCGTTCCAAAAATTGCTCTTGAATTACAATTGTACTCAAGTAATTCGTCGTCAGCTCAAGAGGTCTTAATACTTTCCTGGTGATGACAATATTGGAAACAGCTTCTTTCAATTCACTTCCATTCATTATTTTTGGCATACATCATGTCTAGCTGTTAGATTACTACATGATAATTATAATGTTTTTTCATCCAGCGAAAACTTTGACGTCACTTTTGTTGTCATCATAAAAACTACAAGACGCACCACTCGATTTATTCTCCATTGAATTGCACCGTATCAAGTAGAAATATCAGTGAAAAAATCATTCTAGACATTCGCTGACAAGAGCTTCATCAATAGAGAAAGGCCGCTTGAATTTATTGGATTCTCCATCCAAATCTCACTGGCGATAACATCAGTTTGGAGTATTGGGAATGGCCAGGAGCCGAAATGACCAAATTTAAATGCAATGGTCCCGAAGTTTAAAACGCATTTAGATAAGACACGGCCATCTATTTCTCCGAGTTCTTTTGTCGAAAGTTCTATGGAGAATCGTTTGTGTAATCCTGCGAGAATAAAACTAAAAACCCAGCGATTCTGCAGGATAGCAGTAGTTTCGAACTCTCTTTGATGTATGTACTAAGGAATAGCGATGGATGTTTTGAAGTAGAAGCGTCGATCTTTTCAATGGACGATTGAATTCAATTCCAAAGAGTTGAAGTCAAATGGGCATTGAATTATTTTAATTTTATGACTTTCTTATACTGACAGCTTACAGTTTCTCGAAAGTAGGTTCATACTATTTCTGTCATCATGTAATTTTGAAAAAGGCTATTATAAGGTATAAGATACTAATTGTATTTCTATGGCAATCAAACCATCTTCACAATTACTTCGTTTGATTTTTCCAGTTTTTGATTGAACTTCAGAAATGAATGAAACATATGAAACATTTTTATGGTACTGAAACTTTCACAAATGTCAAAAGTGACTTGAATATGTGGCCAAAGACCCTTTGAGATATTGGTAGCTGAGGATTTATGAGAGGGCGACGATGATATTGAACATGTATGACGTGAAATTGATGATACGAATAGTTCTGATAATGAATACTGATGAGCAGTTAGTTCACGAGTTGAAACGCTGGAACCAAACTGATTTCTTAATAGTAATTTGAAGTCATCGTAAACTCTGGAGAATCTTCTATTAACTAATTTATCTTTTAGTAGGTATCTTCTAAACAGTTTTTGTGTGCCATGATGACATCCACCCTAGCTTACTATTTTTAATACAAGATAATGAACATACATATAACAGAGGGAATCATTCGGGTTGTTTTACGTTGACAGAAAGAACGTTCGAAAGAACTGAGATAATACAGTTCAAAGTAGGCTCAAGAAAATGGACAAAACTTTTGAAACAACCTAATACATTTCTGGAATCAGTTCGGCATGGCAAAGGCGAGAATAGGGAAAAAAAAATTTTACTCGTATTTTAACAATAGAAGCTCGAAGATATGCCAATCTCTATACTTGAACCATTGTTTCAAATTTATGTGTTTTGGGAACTTTCAGTACTATTGTTTTACCATGTTTTTTAACTACTATACGCTCTGTACATTTTAAATCATAATCCTGAATATTCACAAACAAATTTTTCCAAACTGTGCTCTTTAAAAAAAGCGATTTATTTCCAACCCAGTCACAGGAAAAAATGCTATTATTACAGAGTATATATGGAATAAACAATAAAAATAATGGAATATAGAAATGTATAAATGTGAATGCTAAACAAAAAAAGAAATTGTTTAATGTCTGAACAGGAATAAATCCCAATAACAAGACATATTAATATTATTAACAAGCATTTTACAGTTTATGTCTGCCTATATACACACAATACACATACATATATACATACATACACATATACATGAATACAATACTAATTTATCAAGTAGAAACACCTGAAGCGAGTAAACAAAAAATGAAATAAAGTAAAAATTTAGGAGAGTTGAGCAAAAAATTAGGTGGAACACTTGTATGCAGCAAGCTAGGAGAGTAATTGAAAAAAAACCATAAGTCAGATATAGAGCTAAGAAGTAAAAACATAGTTCAAGTGTATTACAAAAAAAAATAATTCAGCAGTAATACAGTAGTAGTAATAAGCTCACCTGGTAGAATAACTTTCAATTTGGGCTCATGTATTTTGACTAGAGTGTAAAAGTTTCTTAACGTGGTTCTTAACTTGACCAATAGGTTCATAATAAATGTCGAGATTTTCACAGAGTTGATTATAAAGTTTGCTTATTGCAACAACTGGTGACTTGAGTGATATGTTTGTTCTAGAATTTGGTAGATAAAAAGTCAGTTCATTTCTAGAATTTATTCGTGGAACATGAAAGTTGAAGTGGGAGAGTAGTTCGGGACAGTCAATTAGATCATTCACTAGTTTATAAATGAAAATTATAGAGTAGTAGGTTCTTCGGTTTTGAAGGGATAATAGATTAAATTTATTCAGCAGTATTGTTGTTGTTGTTGTTCAGGATAAACTTCTTCTAGCTTGTAAGTAATATATTTCATGAAGCCTCTTTGTATATACTCGATTTTGTTTATGTGGACATTATATATGTGGAATATGTGGACATTGTATAAGGGTGACCATATAAGGGAAGCAACAAAGTATATATATAAAATATTGAGTATATAATACAAAAAAAGTTTCAAATCATGCAATTTAGCAGTACTGACACAAAAGTATTTGTAGTATTATTAAAAGTGATTATGGATACAAGAAACCAAAGCGTTTAGAGAGTCGAAATGAATATCGCAGTGTTCATAGATTTTATTGAAGCTACTGCACATAAAATTCAATGGTGATCGTAGCATTATATTTGTGCGTGATGCTTCGCAATTTATGCAGGAATTTTATACCAAGAATAACTCTCCTATTTTCCAAAGAAGTCATATCAAATCGTGTCAACAATATGAAAACCGATTGCCGTCTTTCTCAAACTTGAAAAATCAAAAGAAATTTCCGTGATCATCCCACCCCCAGCCTAAAAGCAGGTCCATGTCAGGCACGTGCAACGTTTATCTTTAAAAAAGGCCGGAATGGCTGCAAACAAAACAAACCGAAAACAGCTTAATAGAGTTATCAACGTCAATGAGATAATGCTTTTCACCCTGCAGACTATCCGCAGATATGTCCGGGTGGAGGAGTGGGGAACGCTATCCTGAGGGATAGCCCGTCCCATTTCGCCCCTCCCCAAACACGCCCCTGTCAAGGGAGCCCAATTTCCAGGAGCATCCCGATTGCAGTGCCGAAAGAGATTTCGAACATTGCATGTTAACTGTTGCGTAACGAAGTTTGAGATCTGTGTTTGGGAGAGTGGTGATTTTCGTGAATTTCGGCCATCAGGAACTGTTTGGTTTTTAGTGATATCGTTTCATGGACTGTTGTCGTTTGTTGGTTCTGAATGTTGAATAAAATTATGACAGGTATGTTTTCTGTAACAATTTTCCGTGGCGCTAACAACAATTGCCGATTCTTTTGTGTCAGGACTTCAGAGGCATTGTGTAAATGCATTTTGTGAATTTCTGTGTCACCGAAACAACTAAATAATACTTTTTAATGGTGAAAAAAATACCCCTGGCTATATATTTCATTTTAACAAATTGTTTTTGAACCTTTAATTAATAAATTACCCAATGAAAGTGACATTTCTAAATATTTGACAATTGTGAAAGGTAAAGTGGAACAGTGGGAACTATTGGTTTCTTAATGATATCTTTCACTTTTTTTTGTCCTAAATTTTTAATGAAATTATGATAATTTATGTTTTCTGTAACAATTTTTCGTGACCTAAACAACAAGTGTCGATGCTTTTGTGACAGGATCTAAGGACCTTTGTTTTTGTTCTTTGTTCTGGACTGATATCCTTCAACTATTTATCTTTTTATGAATTTGAGAGTCTTTCAATTAGAAATTTGGGCACAATATTAAAAGTAACCTTTTATAAGTAACGGTTATTGAATTTTTGAAAATTCCTCAGCTGTTTAGGAACTGTAGTTATTGAAATTATTGACATTATTGATAATGATGGTTTCTATCAATGTACTCCTGACCAATACAGTAATTTTTATTTTGAGATAGATTTTTGAGAGAGACATTTATAATATTTTCAAAATGTAGCGGAGGTGTCAAAACTTCAGAAGAAAAGTTCTAACAAATGAACTCTACTTGTCCGTTATGGACGTTTCGGATTTCAAAAGTCCATCGTCAGGGATCTACAACGAGAAGAAATTGTAGCAGGTTTTAAATTTCATATATCCAGGTATTATTTTTCGTTTTAGAATCCTGATCAATCAACTTATTGAAATTCAAAAACATCGGCAATTGAAGAGTATCGATTCTCTCCGAAACTAGTTCCCTAATGAATCAAGTAGTATTTTTTTTCCATCAGTATAATAATAAATAATAGTTTTTTCCTATTTTTCTTATTTTTTTAATTTGAATCAATTTGAGAAAATCACAATGACCAGATGTCGAATTATTATACTTTCGAAGGAAATTCCTATTATTGAACAATTAGTACTGGGTTGAAACCACGATAAATATTAACAAGAGTAAATAATAATAATAATAAAACGTCATTATTCACCTGAAGTGAGAACATACAGAACATACATATACTAAAAAAATGAGGTGAATGGGAGGAGTGTCAGCAAAGTTGTTTTTGAACTCAACCTTCGAGAAAAAAAGATAAAAATTAAATACGAAATGAGTAATGAAACCTACAGTACGTACATTTTTAAAAAACAAATATTATTCCGTCACCAAATCTTTTGCATAAAAGAATGAGCCACGGTCAGCATGAAAAAAAGAACTACTCAAATATGTTCTTCGAATCTTTTTTGAAGTTTTTCAACATGTAAGATCTGAATTCAATGGGCAGGAGATTGTCGAATTTAGCTGCGTTGTATGAGAAGCTGCGAGTAAAAACAGAAGATCTGTATTCAGGAATGACCAGCAACGACCTGTTTCTAGTGGAAAAACTGTTAATATTCGAGAAAGAATTCAAATTTCTTCATTAAATAATGTGGCTTTAAAAAAGTTTGTGGGGATCAAATAGTGAGGTGTACTTTTAGAAATTGCTGTGGATCTTCATCAAGTAAGGGCCGAATCGATTAGAAAAATAATGTGGCATTCCGGTATTCAAGGCCTTGTGGATATTTGTAAATAGGGGCAATGTCCTGAGTTTCGGTAGTTTTGGTAAAGCATATTCATCTTCAATATTTGTCGTTTTAGGTACTTTGATGTAATATGGTAATTCTGTTGTTTGTCGTTCTGATGGGAACAATAATTGAATAAAAAATAACAGCAAAATATCTCATAATAGGTATATATGATCATACAATCTTTATATGTTATTCTATTCTGTTTCCATTAATTATAAAGAAAAACATATCTGAGTAATAATTCATTGCGATCATCACTGAACAGTTCACAAAACCACAACACGTGTTTTATTATACAATAGCTTATCGACGATTGTTTATACACAAAACGTCTGAAGGGGTGACCACATAAGTTATTCATCCACAACGGGATATTCCGATTCAATACCAGAAAACGTCAAATATATGAATATAAACACAATTAAAATAACAATTTTGAATACACGTTTCAAATTATAAAAAAATACCAACTGAAAAATGATGTACCGTTTTTGTTCAATGAGTCGCTTGTAGTGAAATATTATTTCACTAGATACTAAAGTTCAATAGACTTATTTTTTTCAAAATGAATCTTATGTCCATGTTCTCGAAGTGTGCACTACGAGATTATCAATTGGTTATGTCATTTGCATATACCTAATTACCTGTTCCACTGATAAAAACGTAAATTCAACTACCTGGTATAATTATTCGAACCAATGGACTTGTTTGCGATGTTTCCTTGATTCAATGGCAAAAACAGGAAAAGTTTAGGGCCCACGTATTGAACCTTGAAGAACGCCTTGCGTATTGGTGGCTGGTGTCGTCAAATATAACAGGGTTGAGCTGTTGAAAGCTCTTGAAAATTGATTGCAATCGCGGAATACTGTGTCTTAATTTCGAAAAAGCCATTTCAGTAGTGATTGTCCAAGGTAATCAGTTCATAAACTCACATTTGCTTTACTGATTCCAAAATCGTTCATATTATTATTAAATTGAACCATTTATTGGTTCAATTATGTTATGATGAGACATTGCGAACAAAGGAATTGAAAAACAATTACGCTTTCTTCCATGCAAATTCAGAATAGAGATTCAACAGTATTTATATAAATGTTTCTCAGATGTTTGAGGCGAGAAATCGTCAACGAGTGAAGCCTTTTTGAAAAAGGGTGCAATGAATAGTTGGACCTTTATTATTTCTTGATCTATTCATCATTCATGCATCAATCAGGTAAATTGTACTTTTTTTATTACATATGCGGCTTGGATAGCTTCAAGCTCTGAAATGTAAACGAATTAACAGAAACATTTAATTCGGGTTACGAAACCATCAAGGAAATGTTTGACTAATTTTCTTGTAAGACAAATAACCTTTTTCTCTCCAGTACTGTTCAGTGGTTATTCCATGTCCTATTCAGAGAATGTGAAAGACGTTTATTTCTCAAATTTGAAGATTTCAAAACAACCCTTATAGGTAGATAGATAGATAGATTTATTAAAGCTTTCAATTTAAACAATTGATAAGACTCAAGTCATAAAAATTATTACATTAACAATACAAATGTCAGTTAATATTGATATAAATAAAAGCATGTGGTAAATACAATAAGTATATTAAAATGACAGGAACAAATAAGTAAATATCACAGATAAAGATTGATGAGTAGAATGTAATACTGAAGTTACTAGGAAGCTTAAATTTGATACAGACTGAAAATGGTTATTTGTCCATGAATTCTTGTAATGAATATGGCTCAATGTCACACAACAGATCGAAAACACGTTTTTTAAAAATTTGTTTTATCCGATCTTCTTTGATAATCAAGGGTAAATGGTTGTAGAATTTAATTGATGCGTAATGCGGCCCATGCTCTGTGTTTTTCAATCTATGTTTAGGAACAATATAATTGAATTTCTGTCAGGTGGAATACTCATGTCTATATTTGTCATCTTCAAAATTCGATTTGTTCTCGTTTACAAAAAGTACAGAAACATAAATATATATAGCATATATAGTAAGCATTTTGTTACCCTTGAAGGTACCACGACAAGTATCTGTGTAATTCATATTGAACATTGTTTTCAATATACGTTTCTGCATTATGAAAATACGTTCCAGTTGTGTACTCCCTCCCCATACTAATATCCCATATTTCAGCAGAGGATAAACAGTCCCATAATATGCCGTTTTCAGTGCATCGATTTTCAAGTGACGTCTCAACACTCGAATTACATAACACTTATTTGCTAGTTTTTTTGCAAGATAGTCAGGATGTACCTCATAATTCAGTTTATCATCTATATAAATTCCTAACAGTTTTGTACTCGTTGAAATATCTAGTCTTTCACTGGCACCATGAGATTGGAATCATCTGCATAGCTCACAACTTTAGTACTTGATTTTTTGTAAATTTCAGAGAAATCATTTATGTATATAATAAATAGTGAAGGTACAAGTACACTTCCCTGTGGTACGCCTTTTTCTATTTCAGTGAAGTCTGAGAAAAATTCAGTATTTCGTTGCCTAATATATACTTTTTGCTTCCTGTTACTCAAATACGATTTCAAGAGATTCAAGACATTTCCTCTTATTCCGTAATTAAAAAGCTTTCGAAGTACCTACGAGTACCTATATACTGTTGATATCTTCGACAAAGTACAGAAGCTGACAAAAAAATTATCAATGATGATGGTGTGAAAGAAAGGATTGATTTAGGTAATTTCTGGGGTCATTCTCAATATTTCATAATGTATACCTAGATTTTAATAATCCGTCTCTAATGTATGTCGTTTTCTGTTTGGCCCATTACCAAATATTGGATTATACTTAATTATTATTTGGGGCATCATCCGTCATACTTCGAAACATATTCAATTATTAAAATAACTAATAAGCAACGGCTTCAATCATTGTAACTTTGTGAAGTATGCTTTGTTGTTAAGTCAGACCCGAATACTTTATTCAATAACTCATTTCGATTTTATTAACACAATTTCCGATTTCAAAAACATTTCTATTGAAATAAAAAATATGTAAAGTATTTCAGGCTCGCTTCCAAATTGATATAATGTTGTTCAAACTATCACTTGATAACTTTGTTTTCAAGAGAAATAAAGTTGACTCATGGTATTGTATAATTTCCTAGGCAATAAACAGTAATAAGACAGTAATAACAGTAATAAAATTAAAAGTTGGTTACGTTATAGAACATTCTTCTAGAAATATAGACATACAAATAAATAAAATGCCAAGAAACCATAAATGTCACCTTGCAACT